GGCACAGCCACCAGGCACAGCCACCAGGCACGGCCACCAGGCACAGCCACCAGGCACGGCCACCGGGCACAGCCACCGGGCCAGCCCAGGCTGCAGGACAGCCCTGCCCGCTGCCACCTCCCCAGGGACCACAGACACCTGGGGCAGCGCTGGCTCCCTGCACAGGGGGAATCAGACGAGGATTAATCACACATTTCACCACAATGACCACGTAAAGTCTTGTTTAAGCCACCCAATGAAGCAGGGGGCTGGGGGAGCCCTTGGACACGGTTCCAGCGGGGATGGGGGACAGACCAGCCCAACGCAGGGCAGGGAAAGGCTTCAGCAAAACTTCCCATCTTTAAAGGCCAGCCAAACCTGGAGCACAGGCAGGGACACAACAGCATCCCCCAGCACACAGCACCATCCCCACAGCCCCCGGGTGAAGCACAAAGACAAAGCTGAATGGTAAACACTGGGGCAGGGCAGAGGGAAACCAGATGGGATGAGGCACACAGGACCAGGGAGCGGCTGGGGAGAGCAAAGGGAGCACTTATGGATGAGTTAAACCCAGATCCTGAGGGACAAACTCCTGGGGAGAGCCACGCATTGCCCCAGGGCTGAGTTACATTGCTGGCTTTGCATGAGGTGGATTTCTGTTCTTCTCACACTTGTCTGAAACTGCTTTATTCCAACCTGTAAACGTGGCACTTTCCTGGTACATTAAATCCTCAGGAAAAATGCAGCTGGCACAAAATCCGGTGAGTTTTTGTCTGTACCCATCTTTTCAATGATCTGATTTCAGGCTGGAGCTGTCATCCAGCCCCTCAGGAGCAGCAGCCCTCCCCTCACAGCTCAGCCACTTCAAAGGCAGGAGCAGAATGTCTCCAGAGAGTCCTCACTCGCTATTTGCAGTGTGGACACTGGATATTCCAGGCTAAATTTAGGGGTGCAGATAAGAATATCAGCCTCAGCCACCCAGCTCCAAGGGCACCCGGAGCATGGCCAGCAGCCAAGGCTCAGAGCAGCCACAGGTCCAACAATGAAATTTCAAGGCAGCAATTCCCAGTTTGGTCACATAGGGAAAAAACACAGATTTAGGGCTTGGAAATGACTTAAACATCACATCATTTTCTCTAAAGCAGCAGAGTGTAGAAATGTGATGTCAAAGCAAACCAAACCCATCCTACAATCGTCTCCTCTCCCTCGGGACTGGGAGTGCATTTCCAGGGGTGTAGCTGTGACAGCCATGGGCTTCTGCAGGGTGTAAAAGTAGAAAAGTAGAACTGAGGGCAGCCCTTTATATCGTGATGGTCCTGTCTGTAAAGAAAGGAATTAGAGCTGTATCCATGGCAAAGGGACAGCTGGGTAGGAAAGATAGAATTTTAATGTATTTGAGACAAAGGAAAGCAAGAGGAGAGAGAACAAAAAAAAGAAAAGAAAAAGGGAAGTCCTCTGCATTTGACCATGATTTGAAAAAAGATTTGATAGTGATTTGAAAAAAGGCAAATAGCACTCAAAAAAGGAAAAAAAAAAGAAGCAGTATCCAGATTGCTGCCAAGTGTTTTTGAGTCTTGGAGCTGCCTGCACAAACCTGCCCGAGCCTCAGCCGTGCCCTGGAACGCGCTCCCTGCAGGGGCTCCCCGAGCTCCCCTCTCCCAGTCTGCAGAACAAGTTTCCTTCTCAGATTCCTTTCCTCCTGGCAGAAAGGCCCTCGAGCAGAGCCACAGGAGCATCCCCAGCTCAAGGCACGGGGCAGGGAGGGATGAGCAGGGCAGCACAGGCTCACTCCAGGCTCCGTCACCGGGCACAGCTCCGGGCTCTGCCCCACCAAGGCTGGGAGCAGCCGGGATCACAAAACCCTTCCTCGCCAGCCTGTCCTGCCCCCCTCTCCCCGCCCCCAGGAAAAAGTTCAAAACAAGTTCTTAAGTTGCACACAGGAAAAGGAAGCCAGAAAAATCCGTGAGTGGGAGTGAGGAGCAGCAGCACCCTGGAGGGGAGCTGGGAACAAACCCTGTGGCCAGAGCCTCAGCCCCACTCCCTTCCACACACCAAACAGCACCAAAACTGCTCATACAGGAAACCTGGGCTCACTTCTGACCAAAATATTCCATAGTTCAGTCCTTTATTAGCAGCTGCCTCGCAAAACCCAACCCAACCCCACAATCCTCGTCACCACCAGCGAGGCAGGGCAGCACCGGCTCTGGGATCCCTCAGAGCCTCCAACCCCACATCCCCTGGTGCCACCACGGAGCAAAGAGCACCATCCCTTCCCCTGACACTTGCAGATGGTGCACAAAGGTTGCTGCTTATTGCTTTACTAATGCCAGTAATAAACTATCTTGAAAAGAGCCTCTCTCTCTCTGCCAGCCGCAGACAAGATCCCAGCTGAGATATGGTTAATTACTTCATTTTCTTTTCCAGAGCCAAGGAATGAAATGGTTGATTTCATTCCATGATCACAACCCCAGCTCCAAGCAAAGGGAGGCAGGAAAAGCAGTGACAGCACTGGTGTTACCTGACCAGGCGTGGGCTGAGTGCTTCTTATCAAGAGGGAAAGCTAGACTGGAGTGGAAAGGCAGAAAAGGAAAAAGACATCCACAAAGAAGCAGCAAGGCCAGAGAGCAGCACTGCCCTACCAGGCACACCACTGAATTAAAGCACATGGATTTTAAATATGTAATACGAGGGGATAAAACACATTAAACAATTCTATCTGCTTCTGTTCCAGAGAGACAAGCAGAGTGCTGTGCCCACAGAAATCAGAACCACAGAGCTGCTGCCCTGCAAACACAGCTTTTGTCCCAGCAGAGAAGGCTGGCTGGGCAGTTCCAGGAGCTCCCTGAGCATTTCCCCATCACTGGTGCTGTGGGATGGAGATCCCAGCCCCAGACCAAAGCTGGGACATGGTTTATCCCTATGACACAAGATCCACAGCACTGAATTTGTTGCTGCTGAGGTTTGGGGAGCTCCAGGGGGTTCTGTGGGTTTTCCTCAAGATTATATTCATCTACAAGTCAGAACAAAGCTCTTGCAAAACCCAAAGGAGGAACTGTGGCAGCAAGGCCACTGATTTCTCTGCAGGAAACACATCTGGTGTTTCCCTGCAAACCTCCCCGTGCCCCTTGGGGCTGAGGTGGCTGCACCCCACAAATGGGACCAGCTCCCTCGCCTGCTCACAGCCAAAAAAACAGAAAAAGAGGTTAAAAACTCAGCCCTGCCTCAGCAGAGCATTGCTGGGCTCCTTGGGGTGCGAGGTGCTGCTGAGTCCCCGCTGCCCCAGGGGCAGGAGCAGCCCAGGGGCAGGAGCAGCTGTGGGTGTCCCCCTGCCACAGCCAGCTCACATCCCAGGGCCTGCAGGAGTGAAGGACAATGTTTAACCACCTGCACTGGGCTCCCTCCGATGTTCTCCAAGTGAAACTTGATGCTGCTCAGCAAAGACACACCTCTTCCAGGGTGTTGTGCAAAATTCTGCATTTTAACGTAGGACAGGAAATATGAAAAGAGGTGGGCAGAAGCCAAACAGCCCCGCTGGCCAGGCCGAGCAGCAGGGAGCAAAAACCAAAGGCTTTGCTTGGCTTATCCATCCACCCACCCGTGATTTTCCAGAGCTTTGGAAGCTGCAGCTCCTCCACAAACAGGTTTTTAAAGGGTCACATTGCTGCTTCCCTCAGGAGCAGCTCTGCAGAGGCTTTTTTGTTCCTTCCTTCTGTCTCACGCTGTATTTCCTGACTCCACACAGGGATGGGTCGGTTGCAAAAGATTCTCATTCCCTTTCTGGGATTGGTTTTGGCCTTCTGGTTCTATTCTGCGAGGGACACTTTCAAACCGGGTAAGTATCCAAAGTGAATCTGTCTTTAAGGAAAAAACTACCAAAAGGCACATTTGGGTGTTTTGGATAGAAACCGGACAGAGCTCGGACCAAGCCACGTCCGAGCCTCTGTTGGTGGCAGAAACTGGAAAGCTGCTTTAACAAAGATTTGAAACCAAACTGAGCAAGGACTATGCAGAAAATCCTCCCAAGGGAGCAGGTGGGGCAGGGGGTGAGAGGGAGAGGGCATTGAGCGCTCCATTTTCCTGCGTGCAGGGAAAGAGCTCATGAACGGGGCTTGGAAATGTTAAAGTCTGGAGCCTGCACTCAGTGGATTGTTTTTATTACAGAATAGTTGGGGCGTTGATAAATTGTGCCCTGGCTTGTGGAAAAAGCTGCTGGAAGAGTCCAGCGTTGTCCCTGTGTCCCTGCATTGTGCAGCAGCTCCACAGCTTTTTCCAGGAGATGGGAGAGCCCTGCTGGTGCCGGGAGCACTCGCAGGCTCCTTTACCTTCCAGTTAGCGGCCGATTCTGAAGGGCACTCCGAGATTTGTTTTTATTAGGTTTTGAGGTATTCTCTAATAGCATTTGGGTGACTGAGCTGGCTGTGCCCCGCCGCAGAGATGCTGCGAGGGAAGCGTGTGATCGTGACGGGAGCCAGCACGGGGATCGGGGAGCAGATCGCCTATCACCTGGCACGGATGGGATCCCACGTCCTGCTCACCGCCCGCACCGAGGCCAAGCTGCAGAACGTAACCAGCCCAGACACCCTCACACGGCCACGGCAGGGCTCACACGGCCACGGCAGGGCTCACACGGCCACGGGGAGGGGAGGGGACCCCCATCACAGGCACGGGAACAGGGCATGGCCACAGCCCCGCTGTGCTCTGGGAGCTCTGCACACCCAGCAATCCCCTCCTGCAGCACCCTGCACGTTCCCGTGTCCGAGGTGGTGCCCACACATCCCCACACACCCTCATTCCACGGGGCTGAGGTTCCTGCTGCCCTGCACACCCGCAATTCCAGCTCAGCCTGCATGCGGCACGGGCCAGACTGCTCACCCAGGGAATCACCTTCCAGGCTCCCTTTGAAGCTCACAAGGCTCCAAACGCGCTCCCAAAGCCCCAAAGCGCTGGTTTGAGGCGGGGAACATGCCAGGGAGCTCAGGGTGGGCAGGGAGGGGGCTGCTGAGCGCGCTGTCGTGCAGGTGGTGCGGAGGTGCCTGGAGCTGGGAGCAGCCTCGGCGCGGTTCGTCAGCGGCACCATGGAGGACACGGCCTTCGCCCAGCACGTGGTGAGGGAGGCCCAGACCTCGCTGGGTACGTCTGCAACCTGCTCTGCGCAGCCGTGCTTTTTGCCACATGCGAAATAAAAGTGAGGGAGATGGGGCGAGACGGGAAAAATTCTCCCCTGGTTGTGCCCTTTGCAGCCCTGCTCCTCTGCCTGCATTGCTGCCTCTCAGACTGAACTGCGCTCTCGATTTCAGCTCTGTGGGCTCCTGACAGCCTGTTGCAGTATCACAGATTTCATCAGCACAGCGCCAGGGTCTGGAGGATCTGGCGGCCCCGGCCACTGCGGCCATGGGTCACAGCTCAGAAATGCACCAGCCCAGCTCCACTCCCCTCCCTCCCCGGCCCACAGACAATTCAGGGGTGATCTCCCTTGGGCCATGGGATTTGCATTTTGAACCACAAAAATATATCACAACAAAATATTCACTGGCAGCCACCCTCCAGGCTGAATCCCTGCTCTGGAGATAACAGGCCACAGCTCTGACCCAAAAACCTGATTTCCTTGGATTACACTTACTCTGCTCCCAGAAAATGTTTTGCTTGTTGCAGCCCTCTCCCCCCCAGAACTAATGCCCATTTTTCTGTTTACAGGAGGCCTTGACATGCTGATCCTGAACCACGTCGGCGCATCCTACTTTGGCTTTTTTGATGGGGACGTTGAGCACGTCCGAAAGCTCCTGGAAATCAACTTCCTCAGCTACGTGGCCATGACCACGTCAGCCCTGCCCATGCTGAAGGAGAGCGAGGGCAGCATTGTGGTGGTTTCATCCATGGCAGGTGAGTGGGCAGTGTCACCAGGGACTCACTCCAAAGGCACCTGGGCTCATTTGTCAGAGAGAGCACACAGAGACCCCAGGAGTCCTACAGGAGCCATAATTAAACCACCTAAACCAGCCCCAATGCCCAAATCCAGATGGGTTTGGGATTCTCTTGATGGAATTTGTTTTCCACCCAATCCAATCGCCCCGTTTTGGTTTTTGACCAGTGCTGCAGTTTAACGCCATACATTGGGCAGTGTTCTGGTGATCAGCTTGCTGGCCAGAGACAAGAGTTTCAACTTTGCTCCATCTCTCCCTTCTGAGGGTTTTGTGGTTCCTGTGGGTTGCCCTGAGCAGAGATGTGAGCCATGGCTTTGGCCTTAAGAGCTGGAAGCCAACAAGAATATTTGTAAGGCTGCTGTTCAGGTGCCAGGATGACACTTCACTGCAGATTCCCTCTGGGTAAAATACTGTCTCTGATGAAGGGCAAAAGAGAGGCTCAGGCAGAGCAGCCTCGAGTGCTAACACAGAACTTCGCTCTGTGTCCAGGTAAAGTCGGGTTTCCCTTTACCGTCCCCTACTCTGCGACTAAGTTTGCCCTGGATGGATTTTTCAGCTCCCTGAGGCAGGAATTCACCATTCAGAACATTAATGTTTCCATCACGCTCTGCATCCTCGGCTTCATCGATACCGGTAAGAGCAGTTCTGTTCTGTTCCTGCTCAGGGCTGAGCATCCCCCTCCCAGCTCCTTCTCCCGCCCTCCTCTGCCACCACCCCACCCTTTCCCACTGCTGCAGCATCTCCGGTATCCCAAAAACCAAAAACCTCTGCCACCAAAAAACAGCCTCAAAACTCATTTACTTCCCCACGCCACATAAACCCGGGTTTACAGGCTGGTACAGCCCAACATCCCCTCGGGTGCCCACTCTCCCGCAGCCCCCAGGGGTTCCCCGCAGCCCCCAGGGGTTCCCCGCAGCCCACAGGGCTCCCCGCATCCCCGGGGGTCCCCGCTGCCCCGGGGGTCCCCGGCGCTGACCCGGCCCCCAGAGCGCGCAGTGCGCGCTGCCGCGGAGGTGCTGCGGGAGCGGCCGGCACCGCGGGACGAGTGCGCGCTGGAGATCCTCAAGGGAGCAGCGCTGCGCCGGAGGGAGCTCTACTACCGCTACAGCTCCACACGGCTGCCGCTGCTGCTGCGGGACTGCGCCGCGGAGCTGCTCGATTACCTGGTGCGGAGCCGCTACCGCCTGCCCGCGCCCCCCGGCGCCCCCCGCCCGCCGCACTGAGCCGCGGCCACCGCCAGGGTCCCCGGGCATCCTCCGGTCCTGCCCGGCACCGGCACCACCAGGGTCCCCGGGCACCCCCCGGTCCTGTCCGGCACCGGCACCGCCAGGGTCCCCGGGCATCCTCCGGTCCTGCCCGGCACCGTCACAGGGAGGGTCCCCGGGCACCCCCCGGTCCTGTCCGGCACCGGCACCGCCAGGGTCCCCGGGCATCCTCCGGTCCTGCCCGGCACCGGCACCGCCAGGGTCCCCGGGCATCCTCCGGTCCTGCCCGGCACCGTCACAGGGAGGGTCCCCGGGCACCCCCCGGTCCTGCCGGCACCGCCGCCCCCGGTCCTGCCGGCACCGCCACCCCCGGTCCGTGATGCGCTGGCGGCACCCGCAGGGACAGAGCGGGGCCTGCAGCGGCGGCTCCGTGCTCTGCTCGCCCCGCCCGGCCGCGCAACACTAATTATTAAAATAATTGTTAAATAAAGTGTACTAACCGGACAGCTCTGTGTGTGCTGGCGGGGTTTTATCGCCTTTCTCAGCTGATCATGGGCGCAGCTCCCCTGGGCACTGCCAGGAATGCAGGGCCTCCCCACCTTCCCAAAGAACAATTCCTTCCTAATTCCTCTCCTTACTCCAAGATCACCTGCACAAACCAGCACACACAGAGTGGGTCCTGCCCTTTAAACTGTCAGAAAATCACTCTCAAACCCATTTGCCATCAGCAGACACTGAGCACTATCACAACACTGGGAAAGCTGAAGAGCTTTCCTATTCATACACTTGGTTCTTTCACTGCATTTTGCAGCCCATGGATTCCTCAGCAGTTTTTAGGGGTAAGAGCCACCCAACAAACTGTATTATACCCGTGGTGATATCCCAGAGGATAAAGCAGAACCCCCAGTAAGGGCTGGAAAATGGAACCTCTGCCAGCCCTGCTCTCTCCAGATATTGCTGTGAACCTGCACAACAGGGAGCGCTGATCAGCAAATCCTTGTGGCAGCCAGCGAGGAAGGGAAGGGCTGCTCCTGGTTTAGATGTGGAGTGGGGAGACAGGGATGTGCACTCGTCCCACAGACGTGTGCTCTGAGGGGACACTGCTGTCACAGCCACCGCTCTGCGGAGCTGGAAGCTGTGCGGTGCCTTCAGCACTCGCACAAAGCACACCTGGCACTCCTGGCAGGCCAAGGGTGCAAAGGGACAGCCTAAAGTCCAAAGCCACACGCTTCATTAGGTTAATGTTTGCTAAATCACCGGCAGGGCAAAGAAAAGGTCCAACAGATAGCAGCAAACTTGTGTGAGATAAGAACCAGCTCAAAACTTCCCAGCCCCATTTGCAACCTCCAGCCACCTTCACCTCCCCGTGGGGCCCATCTCGCTCCTGCCTGTACCTCTGCAAAGGGATGGGATTGCTCCTGAAGATTTTCATCCCTTTGCTGGGAGCAGCCCTGGCCTTTTATTTTTATTCAGCACCTGAGAACTTCAGTGAAGGTAAGTCCTGGCAGAAAATGGCTTTACAAACACAGCAAGGCACTGCCAGAGGGGCACAGGAACCTGCCAGAGTCAGAGTGGGAGGGCTGGGAGGGCACACAGCCCCTGGGCAAGGGGTCAGAGCACAGGGAAAACTCGTGGAGTTACACTGCCTCTGCTGGGACACACTGGCTGACCTCTGTAAATGACTTATTTGGGAAACAAGCAGTTTCCCCACTTTAAACATTCCCTCCTTTCATCACTCAGCTCTCACCGCTCCCTGGCCAGGCCGGCGGCGGAGCTGGAGCCCCACACGTGCTCCCCACCAACCCGGGGTTAGGGATCAGACTCCAGCGGGGTCTGACGAGGCTGGCAGGGACAGAGAGGAGCTGCAGTGTCCCCGAGCAGAGGGACAGCCAGGGCTGTGCCAGCTCTGAGCTCTGCGCCCTCCTCTGCAGAGATGCTCCGGGGGAAGCGGGTGATCGTGACGGGAGCCAGCAGCGGCATCGGGGAGCAGATGGCTTATCACCTGGCTCACATGGAGGCCCACCTGCTGCTCACGGCACGGACAGAGGCCAAGCTGCAGAAAGTAAATGGCGAGCAGGGCGTGCTGGGCTGGATGTGGATATTCACCCCAGCCCCGGCACACCCTCCAGAGCCACCCCAGGGCTCCCCCAGTACCAGCCCTGTCTGGCCCAGGACAGGAGCAGCCCGGGATGGGGGTCCCATGCAGGGGAGTCCATCCCACCCCGTTCTGTCGCCCCAGGTTGTGGAGCGATGCCTGGAGCTGGGTGCTGCCTCCGCCCGCTACATCAGCGGCTCCATGGACAGCCCCACCCTGCCCCAGGAGCTGCTCAGGGAGGCTGAGAACACCTGGGGTGGGTGTCGTGGAGCTGCCCCTCCTCACCCCACAGCACCCCCGGCCTCCAGGAGGGGCCTGGCTTGCAGGTGACGGTCGCTGGTGGCAAACCTGCTCTGTCCCCAGGCGGCCTGGACATGCTCATCCTGAACCACATCGGCCACAGCGGCTTCACCTACTTCAGCGGGGACGTGGGCCACGTCCGAAAGCTCATGGAGATCAACTTTGTGAGCTACGTGGCCTTGGCCACGGCTGCCCTGCCCCTGCTGAAGGAGAGCGAGGGCAGCATTGTTGTGGTTTCATCCATAGCAGGTGAGCTCACAGCCCTTCCCCGGCCTGCCAGGGATCCCTGCCCAGACTCTTCATCAAGGGGCAGGGTCAGGACCACAAGCCGAGAGCTGGGACTCAGGGTCAGCACGTGATTTAGATCTTTGGTGCACAATTTCCTCTGGGAAATTTATATTTTGTCCTGTCAGTGTCTTGGCTCCCTCTGGTCACCCTCACACGCTGCAGTGCAGGTGATTTCACGTCTTGAACACACGTTTGCAATGTGGGCATCTCTGCAGGGTACAGGAGCAGTATCAGCTGCACTGGGGCGCTTCGTGCCACGTTACATTTTAAACATTCCTGCGTGCGTTTATTTCTCTCAAGCATTCATGACAGCTCATTCCAACACCCTAAATCCCAGCAGCTCCCTAAATCCCTGCAGCTACTGGCAGGGCAAGAGGGAGGGAGAGCTGTGCAGCCTGGTGCCTGCCCAGCACCTGAACCCCAGCTCTGTCTCTGCTCCAGGCAGAATTGCCGGCCCTTTTACTGCTCCCTATTCCGCAACCAAGTTCGCCTTAGATGGATTCTTCAGCTCCCTGAGGCAGGAGCTCATCATAGACAAGGTCAATGTTTCCATCACACTCTGCATCCTGGGCTACATCAACACAGGTAAGCTCAGCCCAGCGGGACCCCGTGGCTCAGCCCAGCAGGCGCAGCCAAGCTGAGCCCACCACCCCTGCCTGGTCCTGCCCTGCTCTGCCACTGCTGCTGGAGCCTCCTCCCACGGTGTCTGTGCAGCTGTGGAAACAGAACCCCAACTCCTAAAAAAGTGTGGCCTGAGGCCTTTGCCATCCTCTCAGAGAACTCAGGGGAGGAGGTCCTGCAGCCACTCGAGAGGTGGAAAGGGAAGGACATCGTATGATTGTTATTTTCACTGTTGTAAGCCTTGTTAAACAGGTGTGATCCGCAGAGTTTGTGGGTTTGAGGGTGCCCCAGACACCTGAGTGAGCCCCAGCTGACACTGTGACCCTGTCCCCCCTCAGAGAGCGCCGTGAGCGCCGTCTCGCACGTTATCCCGGACACGCCGGCCCCGAAGGAGGAGTGTGCCCTGGAGATCATCCGGGCCGGAGCCCTGCGCCGGCGGGAGCTGCACTACCCTCCCCGGGCCGTGGGCAGCATGCTCCTCGCCCACAGCATCGCCCCCGAGCTCCTGGACTCCCTCATCCGCAGCAGCTACCGCGTGGAAAACGTCAGGAGAACGTAGTCCTGGGACCGTGCTGGGACACCTGGGGCCAAGCAGGACCCAGCTGGGCGCTAAGCCGGCTGCCTGGGCACCCTTCCCACACCTCTGCTGACACCCTGGGGCAGGACACTCCAGGAGCCTGTAACGCAGCACAGGAATGTCCTTTTTAGTAATGGACTCTTGTAAAGGGCTGTTTCCAACCAGGAAAGAGAAGCCCTGCAGCAGCAGCATCTGCTGCCAGTGTCCTCCTCACCAGCAGGGTTCCTGCTCAACCTGCAGAAACTGTTCCCTCTGGAAAGCCACCGAGGCAGCTGAGCTGAGCCCTGGCCCAGAACCAGGGTTTGGGCCAAGCAGCACAAACCACCCAAAGCCATGAGAGAGTCTCTGAATCTGGAGATTTTCTGTCACACATCCCTTCCATGGTGGTCTTTGTAAAATAAATTCCATGTTACTTTGAGACCTCTGCTTTTCCTGGTGTTCCTTCTCCACGTGCACAAGCAGGGAGCTCTTATCGGTGCCCAGCTGGCTAAACCGACCTCCTCCCCATTTGCATTAGCTAAGCTTTCACTTCTCTAAAGACCTTAATGAATTTCTGCCATTCCTGACCTCTCCTCAGCTGCCAAAACACACTTTTTTTTCCTCTTTTCAATCTGCAAGAAGCCTTAAAATAATAGCATTACTGTACTTCCCTAAGTCTGGATTTCTCTGCCCCAAAGCCACTTGGGGAAACTCCTTCCCCAAGTGCCACAAGCAGCTCCATGAGCCGGTGCTGCCTGTGTGTCACAGAGCAAGGGGAGATGTCCCACAGATAACTGCTGGCTCGCTCAGGGCCAGGCTGGACACGCAGGGCTCCCGAGATAAGCCCGATCCCGCTGCGAGCACAGACAGGAACCGGGGCTCGGCCGCAGCTGCAACGCTTCCTGTTCGACAGGGAGGAAAGGAGAGCACAAGATGGGGTGCTTGGCATGAAGAGGGCAGCTGGGGCGAGTTCCTGCCCACCAACACCCGGCTCAGCTCGCCACTCGAGGGGCAGGACAGGAGCCTGGCACCAGGTAAGTGCTGCAGCGCCCACAGCACCAGGAGCTGGGACTGGAGGGGAGCAGAGGCTAAAAGCAGCACCAGGCACCTTTTCCCTCTTTTTTCACCCCGCTTTCAGCCTACACATCTTGCAGTGGGAAACTGTAACGTGAACCAGCAAGAAGCAGAGTTTTTTTCTGGTTTCCCTTGAAGCAAGAAGTGTAACAGCTTGGAAAGCAAAGATAGAGGACATGTTTAATTAGAGAGGGTAATTTGGGGTAACAGAAGAAGGAAATGGAGAATTAGCTTGTCAAGAAAGCCTCAAGGGTTTGCTCAGCCCGGGGTGAGTAATGGACTGTGTTTCTTTAAGCTTTATCCTGCTTTTCAGTCCATTTTTGGTGAACTGTGGCTTTGACAGCCCTGGGACAGGCTGGGTGAGCCAGAGGCAGCACAGGTGGGAGAGGGCTGAGCTTTTCCTGATGGGAAGAGATGGATGAGTGGAGACTGAGCAGGACACACAAGTGGGCCTTTTCTAAAATGGAGCAATCCAAAGTGAAAAACTCTCAGCATTTGGAGCAGTGCCCTGGCTGGGGCTCGTGGGCACCTGCCCGAGCCAGGGCAAGAGCTGAGCACCCCAAAAATGCTGCTCGCCTTCAAAGGAGGCCCCTAGTGTAAAAGATAGCCCCAGGAATGAGCTTTGAGCACCCCACAGCTACCACAAGGACAGTAAAAAGAATTACAGAGCAGATTTGAACACAAACTAAAAAGCACGGAAATACCCTACGTGTAAATGGCACTCCCAAACGCCGCCCGATACCCCACAAGCATTAAATCCCAGAAAGGGTTGATTTTCTCTCAGGTGTTTTGTCCCGGTTTGGCAGGGCAGAGGCCCCGGGGGGACACGGCCACCATGCCCAGGAGGGCTCGGCCACAGCGGCGGCGGTGCCCGGGCGAGAGCAGCGAGGAGAGGAGCGAGAGGAGGCAGGAGGAGAGGGAGAGGCTCCGCTGCAGGAACAACACCAGCACCTGCCGCCAGCTGGCCCGGCCAGCCCCGCAGCCAGAGCTCAGCCCCCGCCAAAGGGAGTTCCTCAGGAGGAGGAACCTGGTGGGACAGGCCCAGGAGACCCTGCAGGGACAGGAGCCCCAGGCACGGACCCCTCCGGACCCCTCCTCACGGCTGGAGCCCAGACCGGGCATCCTGCTCCAGGTAACAGCTGCCCTGCAGCACAGCTCAGAGCTCAGCCTGCTCCGGCCAACACCAGAGCATCAGTTCATCTGTCCAAGCCGAAACACAGCCAAAATGCAGATTGGACAGACAAAAATGTTCATTTCCATACTGCAGAGTCAGGTGTGGGGACACAGGCACCTCCCTGCTCCTCTCCCGTTTGCCAAGCCCCGGAGCACATGGAGATTTTTCTGCCATTTCTCCAAGTACAACTCCACCTTTTTGCTGCCAGGCTGCAGTTTGGCACTTCAGAAATTATTTTTACCCTTGATATGTCAGCTCCATCCCCCCGGCCTCCCTCCATCACCTGTGAGCAGGAAGGGTGGAGGAGGCAGGAGATTCCCTGGCACTCATCACCCACCCTGAGCCCCACAGGATCCCAGAGGGCTCCCTGCCTTCAGAAACACCTTTGGAAAGGTGCAAAACACCCCAGGCAGAGCCAAACAGCTCCCCTTGTAAATGTATTTCTGTGTGAAATTCCCCGGGGGCTCACGAAGCTGTGTGAGCAGACAGAGCTGAGCGGGAGGTGATTTACACAGCCCCACCCTGGAGCTCCCTGTACAGCAGCAGAGTGAGCGGAGCATCACCCACCCCTCGCTCAGCAGCCCCTGGAGCCTGGGGGCAGCACTGACCCACACCAGAGCCCTGCTCACGGCCACCTTGTCCCGTTCTGGGGTGTCATCCCCCATCCCAAGAGCCAGCAGGATTTTCCCCAGTGTGCCACAAAGCTCTGGAGCTGCTGCAGCCGAATCCCTGTGGATTTGCCCTGGCTCCTTGGCGTCGCCCTTCAGCGGGTACAGCCCCTGCCCTCAGCCTGCTCTGGGGAGACACTGGCTGCAGCTGCCCTCTCATTGCAGGGTCCGAGGAGCTGCTCCACATTCCCCCCTGCTCAGTCCCTGCTGAGCCTCAGCATCCCCCAGGGACCAGGGGACTCTCTCAGCACCCAAGGTACGTGAGGGATGCTCAGATTTTCCCAATAGGATATTCCCTTCCCACTTTCACATCTCCCTGGGGCTGTTTGGGATCGGCTGGCAGCTCCCCAGCCACATCCCCACCCCAGACCGAGCTCTCCCTGCAGACCGCAGGAATTCGGAATATTTTTCCTGGGGAAGGATAAACCAGCCCACAGCCTGACCATCGGTGCTGCTGAGCAGCTGCTCTGCCCCAGGGCTGCCCTGCTGCTGTCCCAAATCAGTGATTTCACTGCAGGATAACGCTGCTCTCTGTCCATCAGAGCAGAGCATTTCTTTGTGCCCCTTGAGCTGTCACTGGACTCTTGAATCTGGGAGCAGAGATGCACACCCTGATGGAAAAGCACCCAGGGCCCCCAGGGGGATCGTTCACACCCTCTCACTTTGCTTCCACAGGAACCCAGAGCCTCCCAAAGCCAAGCTCAGGAGTGAGAGACTCGAGCCAGCAGACAGAGTAAGCAGCTCCTGCCTCTCCCTGGGAATTCCTGCAGAGCTCCCCAAGCCCCACAGGGCTCCCCCTCCAAAAGACACACGAGGTTTTCTGCTCTGACACTCCCTGCTCCGCTCGGGACAGGCTGAAGGGCCCCTGACACCTCAGTAACACACTTTGTTTTCCATTTCAGCTGGGGAATAGCAGTGTTAAATAAGGTAAGGACAGCACAGGTAATGACCAGCCCGGAACTCCTGAAGTTAAACTGCTGTGGAAATATTTCCACTTCCCTGGAAAAGCCAACCCAATGCACCCCAGCAAGCTCTCCCTCTCCACCCAAGTACAGGCTGTTAATTCACTTTTAAATAAAAGCATTTAGATTTTTGTAGCAAGTTCATGACATGTTTATAAACTAAAACAGCCCTGTCTTTAAACATTTCCCTTTCCCTTTCAGGAAATGGTGCAGCTCTCCAACTACCTGACGGTAGGTACCAAACACTGCTCAGCACCCACTGGGACAGCTGGTTTTCATCAAGAATAATACTTTTAAAATTAATATTCATATTGATAAATGAAGGGGTGTTAAAAGGCCAATTTGAACACGGCCAAGAAAGGCAACAGAGCTCCAAGAGCTGGAGCCCCCAGGCAGGGCCAGGCCAGCCCTGGGCTGTCCCCAGCTCTGGGTCCCACTGACCACGTCCCCCTTGCCCACAGGAGGCCCTGCACCGCGAGCTGCTGCTCAAGCAGAAGATGGTGATTTTACAGCAGCTTTTGTCCACTCTGCTCCAGGCATCAGAGAAATCCTGGCAGGTACCAGAGACCCCTCATCCCCTCCCCTGGCCCCTGCCTCGCTGGCACCGCTCTGCCTGGGGAGGGTGGGACAAACTCAGGGGAAAGGGGGAGCTTGGCCTGGATTTTTCCCTTTTGTGCCCCAAGAGATTCTTGCAAAACGCACTTTGCTTTCAGATCAACAGCAAGTCTAAAAATCTGTATTCTTCTGCAAGGTTTGGGGGTGTTCTATAGCCTGTCTTTCCCACTGTTCCTTGAATACCAGGGTTCTCCTCCCTGTTCCTTTCAGAGATGTGTTCTGGGCCCCAAACGCAGCCCAGAGCCCCAACACCAAGGCCATTGCTGCTGAATCGTGGCCTGGCATCAAACCCTCTCCCCAAAGCTCAGAAATAATCCTCTGGGCACCCTGAAAAAGGGCCCTTTTCTTCTTCTTTGAGGATGCAAAAATTCAGATGATACGTTTTATGTCATATATGAGGCTTTCTTACAGGATCATTAAATCAAATAATTCATGCCATTGTGGCATTAAACAAAAAGTGGTTTGAAAGTTCTGTTGGGGCAGAGAAGCGAGTGATTGGGTGAGGGGGTACAAAAAACTCGTGTTAGACATCCTGTGCTCAGAAACTTCCGCCTTCGCTCGCTCCTTCAGCAAAATGGGAGCAGGAAAAAACACTCGGCCACACTCGCAGGAAGTGGCCACGAAACCTCAGAGCACAAACAGGTGGGTGCTCCTCGCTGCTCAGACTCTGCTGCTGCCTCTTGCACACATCAGCCTAAAACTCAGCTTTTCTTCAGCCCAAAACTCCCCTGGGGGCTGGAGCCAACAGGCTGCTGCTGCTGGGAGGGGATTCCAGGAGGGGCTGGGGGGCTTCTCCAGGGGGTGCTGGCAAAGGGAGGGATGGATGGAGCCCTCCCCATAACGCTGGGCCACGGAAAGGGAGGGCTGGCCGCCCCTGTCCAGCCTCAGGTGAGATGACAAATGGTTGTTGTAGCAGCTTTTTAACCCTTTCTAACGGTTTGGGGTTCAATGATGAGCTGTTGAGCTGTGAATGGTGTGGCAGTGACTCTTGGAATGGCCACACTGTCATTTCTGAGCTGCTGTTCATGTGTGGCTGTGGCTCTGCAGGAGGATGGGGGTGTCAGACTGCAGGGACAAAGCATTTGGTTCCTTCCCTTCCCACAATCTCACTTCCAGGCCAGAGACCTTCCTCCCCAGGAAAGTGCCTTTTTTGTGCCTTAAATCCCCCAGCAGCTGTAAAACTTGCCTAGCTGATTCAGAAATGCTGCCAGATGAAGGATGATCAGTGAGCCCCCGTGATGATTAAGGCCCCTTCCAACCCAAACCCTTCCATGATTTCTGCTCCAAAGCACAGGAGGGGCCTCGTAGATGGCACAGCCACATCTGTGCACAGCAGACTTGTGCAGAAAACAGAGGAGAACCGAGGAAAAGCAGGCAGAATATTGCACATCTAAAATTGCTTTTCAAAATTCCACCTACGTACTAAGAGCCGTTAGTTCTTTGCACCAACGAGTGAACTGGGAAGATTCAGTCTTCGGGACTGTAAACTGCTTCTGTGCAAATTTAAACAGTGCTGAGACACCAGGGAGTCTGGCTTTGCTTGGGTCTGTCAGCTATTCCTGTAACATCAAGGAGTTTCTTTTCAGAGTCGTGACTTCAAGCAGCAGTGGGCAGGGAGGATATTGGTGCTCTCAGTACTGGTGGTGGAAAAACAGCCTACGTGAACTCCTTGCTAGAAATGTTATCTGAATTTGCATGCAGTTCCACAAAGCCTGAGCAGCCTGACTAACACCGAGAGGAGATGATGGCAATGAGGAAAATGAATCATTGCCTGTGCCCTCCATCCCCCTGCCCAACTGCAGATGTTGCAACACAGACCCAACCTATTTTCTGAGGAAAAGAGTGAGACAAGACAGTTCCAGCAGCTGGAGCTGGAGGCAGGGAGGGAGCACAGGCAGAGGTCAGGGGTATCCGTGGGAACAGGCAGCAGCTGCATTTCTGCCAAAGCCAGCCAGAACAGCCCAAAATCCCCTCGCTCCTAACTTGTCATGTCACTGCCAGCACCTGCACTCAGCAACCAGAGAAACTGCCTCAGGACAGGTTTTCAATCCATAAAAGTTATACTTCCCCCATATCCCATTTATTCTGAGGCTGGAAAGGTTTACTGGAGCTCTCAGCACTGAAGAGACTTTGATCTGATTACAGATGAAGGGAGACAATGAATCAAAACACAACCCAACAAAACATTGGGTGCAGTTCACGATTTCACATCTCGCTTCACTTGCTTTTTCCCCAGGGTCAGCTGAACGAAGACAAACTGAGGTGTAAACTCCGGGTGCTGGAAAATCAGCTGCAGGCCTGCAGCCAGGTAATGTTCACTGGTAAAGGAGGTGAGGAAAGGCAGGAAAACAAGAACCAAGCCTTGGAAGTGGGTCGAGTCTCAGTTTCTACATCAATTTGATTAGATACCTGTCCAACAAGGACTTGAACTCCGCTGAAGAAATGCTTCACAGCACATTAGCAGTAGCATTTACACACTCTGGGTTTGCCACTACTCAGATTTAAGCATTTCAAGCTCATTCTTTCTTTCAAGAGTTACTCAAAGGAGTGTGTGAAGAAGATCCTGATAGAGATGGAGGACCAGAAGCAGACCTACGAGCAGAAGGCTAAAGAGGCTCTTCAGAAGATGCTGGAGGACAAACTCCAAACAGAGCAGCAGCTGCAAAACTCTCAGGTGAGCAACATGTCCTGGCTTGGCTTTAATTTAGTCCAAGTGTGACAAAGAAAACCCGACATGTCAGGGAAAGGTGATGACAGGCTTACCATTAGCAGCAAAGATAAAAAAAATTATGAAGTTTTAGCTACCCAGCAAAGCCCAAAGCAGCTTTAATGCAAGCTGTGCTAACTGCACGAGCTGCACATCAAGTTCCAGACAGCTCCCAGCTGGGGAAATGCACTCAGGTTTGTCAGCTTGAATTGCAATCCCTTTCCCCCCACTGTTCCATCCCCTGCTCTGCACTCACAGACCCCAGGGCACGAGGTCTCCAGAGCCATTTGTTCTGGAGTTGCTCATTTATATGAAAATAGATTTTCCCCAAGAGGCAGCAAATTGCCTTGACCCACAGGATTACTGGGATTTGCAGGAAAACAAGTGAGTTTTATCCCAAGCACCAGCAGGCATCCCAAGGATGCTCAGGAACACGGTCCAGAGGGAACGCTGCCCACGTTGGCTGTGTCCATCAGATGGCATCAGCCCCACACGGGTTTTTGTTTGCTGGTGCTGGGGGAGCCAGCACTGCCCAGCTGCTGTCACCCAGGGCTGGCAGCATCCCCCAGGGCTCACGGCCACCCCGTGTCCCTGCTCTCCCCTCCAGAGAAGCCTGGCAGAGACGCGAGAGGACCTTGCCCTCTGGAAAGAGCAGGATGCCACGCTCAGAGCCGAGCTGGCCAAGGTGACCACAGCACACACCGAGCTCAAGAACAGCTTCCAGGCTTTACAGAGTGAGCTCCAGGTACGCCAGCTCCCGCAGGAGCCGCTCTCTCTGGAATCTGGGGTTTTGCTGATGCCGGCTTGCCCCGGATCCCTGCAAGTGTCCAAGGCCAGGCCGGACAGGGCTTGGGCAGCCTGGGCCAGCAGCAGGTGGTGTGGGGGCAGGAGGAGCTGAGCTTTAGCAGCCCCCCAGCAGAAGCAGGCTGTGACTGTCAGTCTGTCTGTCTGTCTGTCTGTCTGTCCCTCGGCAGCGAGCGGATGCCCAGAGCGAGCGGCTGCGCCGGGAGCTGCGGGAGCTGCGCTCGGAGCGCTCGGAGCTGCTGCACACAGCCAGCGCCCTGCGCAGCGACAGCCACACACGGGCCACCCTCCTCCAACACCTCCAAGGTACCCCAGCCAGGAAAGGTTCCCCGGGTTTGGGCCTCCAGAACCGCAGGAGGGACAAGGAAAGTGCTCCTAAAGCCGCGGTGCTTAGAGCCACACCACACAAGGCTGACTTCAGCTACAGCCCAGCTTGCCACAGGGCTTCTGATCGCCAAAGCCCTCCAAGAGCTGCTCCTGACTGGATTGAAGAGTTCAGAGAAGTGACTTTGCTAGAGGAAAGGATGTAATGGGAGATCTGATAAGAAATAGAACTCTGAGCTGTGTCCTCAGCTTGAATGAGGACGTTTCACCCTTGCCAGACCATCAGACACAGCAGGGCAGCCCCGGCGTGGTGACGATGCTGGTACAGAGCAGGTGATATTGTCCTACAGCACCAGGTCAGACAGGGGCCAGGCACTCACACACGTTCATCTAAACTCACACATGGCTATTTTAAAACATAATTAAGGAAGAGAAAGTGGGTTGTAACTCTAATCTCATAACAGGTCTTGCATGAACAGCTTTAAAATAAACCATAAATGACTTGAACACAAGGCACGAGAGAAAAAGCTGCCAAAAGACAAAAGGGCAATAAACAGCTAAAAATCACATCCCTTCAGAGAAGAAAGTCCAGGGCAGCCAACGACATCTGCTCCACTCTACACATGTGGAGAACAGAAAAGCACCAGCCTTGCATAAAGATACACAAAGATTTACACCAGCCTTGATTTCCTGCTATCCTCATTTCAGATAAACTGCAGAAGGAACAAGAGCAGAAGGTAACACTGGAGGCAACAGTCAGCCATTTGCAGAGTAAGTAACACAGAAATGCACAAAGTTAGAGACCTCCTTCAGTGCTGCAGACAATAATGCTGCTGTTTGTGTTCCCAGACTTGATCCACAACCAGAACAACCAAGGGAAGAGCCAGGAGGTGACGGTGCAAAGGAAAGGTCAGCAAACTTTGTAACCCCCACGTAGCCCTCCCTGGACACAGGAACACTAGCCCTGGCTCTAGGAAAAGTCTGCAGTGGTTTAGAATAAAGGGTTATTTTAGAGCTACACAGAATGAGTTGTTTTGCTAGCTAACATGTATTTATGATGGCAAACACTTTAAAAAATAAATGGATTTCACTGCAAATTCTGCTTCAGTGGCTACGCCATATTTTTTCCAGAGAAAACACATTCCAGTTTATAATTGCAATTACAGCTGTACTTGACAAAAAGAAAGTAATAAAAAAGACATTTTAACTCCCCCTCCCCTCCATTTCTGGCAACCACTTAGAAATATTGCTCTTATGATGATGTAGCTACAGCAGAGACAGGCCCGTGATAACAAACTCAGCTCCTGTGTCTTCTGCTTTGTGCATAGCACACAAATATTACCTTTAAACTGTGCTGAGTAAACAAGAGCTAAAGCCAACCCAGAGCCTGGAGCTGTTTCTCATCAGAAGCCTGACTGTTTTCTAGGCCAGGTTTTCATCACACAGACCCCACCTCTCACTCCTGCCAAGGAAAAACAAAACGCTCTCTTAGAGCACCCCGAGGAGGAGGAGGAGGGAACAGAAAGTCTGAAGGATGAGATGAAGAAAAAGGCATCCCAGCTGACAGCAAAGGAGAACGAGGTGAGGAAGTCACTCAGTTGTCACTGGTGCAAGAGCTCCAGCAGAAACACCACACACCAAAGCTGCTGCAGGTAACCCAGCCTTGCTGTCTCCTGTGGGGATTATCTGAATTTTTATCCTCATACCACTCTCACCTAAATCCCCACGAAGCACCTAGCCACAAGGACAGGGCTGCAGGAGCAGAGCTCTCCCCTACAAACCCACTCCTGCTCTCACACATAGGAGAGCCTCAGCAGCCACACAGGGAAAAGCCACAGCCACACTTCAAGAACCAAGCCCCTGAGCACAAAGGAAGGAGAGGAGGAAAAGAAAATGCTTGCAATAATAACAATAATAAAAATAACAGGAAGGTTTTGCTAACAGAAGCGATGCCTGTACAACTGGGCTGCAAAAAAACCCCAAACAACCAAAGCTTTACAGCCTTTTACACAGACTTTGCCATCAAACCAGCCAACCAACAGCCCCTCAATTCTTATAGCAGTGTTCAGGCAGCAAGGACATACTTAAAAGTACCTATAAAAATAATTTATAGCTTACTGTAGCAGAGCTGAGAGCCACTTGTCACACTAACCCACAGTGCTAAGGGTCCCAGCACCATCAGATATCACCCAGGAGGGGTTTATAAAGCACACTTGCAGCAAGAGGGAACAGCAGGGGGGATAAGACACCCCACTGCCCCCACTTTGGCTCCTGAAGCCTCTGGGCACAGGCAGCTCCTTCCAGAGTTGCTGCCAATGCAGAATGTCAGGGAGAGCTCCCTCGGTCTGGGTGGAAAAGGGGCCATCCCTGAGTTATGGGGTTGTGCAGCACAACCAAGGCACCTGTCCCACCTGTCCCAGCTCTCAGAGGGTTAAAAGGGCTGTCAGGAATTGCTGTCAGGGCCTGTGAAATGCAGAAGGAATTTCAGACTGAGGAGCAAACCCTGACAGGAGTCTGCATTCCACATCTTTCTGACCTGCACACTCCTGTGGCCATAAAAGTCACCATTGCTCCCTCCCCACGTGCTGTGGCTGCTGGCAGCGGAGCCAGGCAGGTGTGGGGTGGTGGAACGATGGGCACAGCCAGGCAGGTGTGGGGCGGTGGCAGGATGGGCACAGCCAGGCAGGTGTGGGGCGGTGGAACGATGGGCACAGCCAGGCAGGTGTGGGGCGGTGGCAGGAGTGGCACAGCCAGGCAGGTGTGGGGCGGTGGAACGATGGGCACAGCCAGGCAGGTGTGGGGTGGTGGCAGGATGGGCACAGCCAGGCAGGTGTGGGGCGGTGGCAGGATGGGCACAGCCAGGCAGGTGTGGGGTGGTGGAACGATGGGCACAGCCAGGCAGGTGTGGGGCGGTGGCAGGATGGGCACAGCACACCCCAGAGCTCTGAGCTGTCCCTGCAGGAGCACCAGGACACACAGGCAGAGGAGCCAGGCCGTGCCCCGCTGCGGGTGAAGCTCTGCAGCCGCTGCAGCAGCCCGGCCTCTCGGGGGGTGCACAGAGCCGAGGGGACCCCTCCTGCTCCGAGCCCCGGGCTGTGCTCACGGCGCTCGGAGCTGCGCTCGGAGCTGGAGGCGCTCAGCGAGCAGTACCGGTCCTGCCTGACCCAGCTGCGCCAGTGCCGGGAGCAGCTGAACCGCGGCAGCCGGGCACAGGTGGGAGCTCCCGTCCCGACCCCTCGGCCTGGCACAGAGCCCCCTCCTCTGTGCCGTGCAGGGGGATGCACGACACGTTTGCTGGGGCTGGGATGAGATGTGGCATCCCCCAGCACACCCCCAGTAACACAAGCTTCTCCTGGCAGAGCGGTCCCTGGATCCCTCTCCTGGTGGCAGTGGCAGCAGTGGCCATCGCCACCTTCCTGGCGAGTTACAGGCTGTGAAGGAGCTCCCCGAGGACTGACTTCACTGCAGGAACTGACCTGCTTCGCCAAAAGCAACCTGACCTCTCCACACCTTCTGCAGTTTTGTGTGTGCACACCGGGCTCGTATCCCGAGCTGCTGTCACTCCAGACAATTCCCGAGGGGACATCTCCCCTCCCTCGGCTGCTTTCATTGCCCTGCTCCTGCTCAAGGCTGCCCTGCCCAGTGAGCACTGGGGGATCCAGTGAGGGACAAAGCCCCTCTGGCCACCGCTGCTGTGGCCGCACAGGGCGACAGGGACGGGGCATCCTGTGGGGTTTTATTCCCCCAGGTTCTCCTCCTGCATTTACTGCCCCTCTAAATGGGAGGTACTCGTCCTGGGCCATCTCTACTCTTAGATGACAAAGAAACTCAGCTCAGGGGGGCTCTTTAGCAGTGTCCTCACATGTCCTGAGCAATTCTCCCACCTCACACCCAGCAGGCCCTGTTCTACCCCACTCCTCCAGCCTCTCTAGTGGCCGAGCATCCCCACAGCCATACCTGCTTCCCTTTCACCACCAGCACCACATGAATTAACCAGACGGGGTTTTAAAGTGCCTCTTGCAGCTGCACCGTGCAGGTTTTTCAGCAGCACTTGCCCCTCATTCATGTGCGGGCTCAGACACAACACAGGCCATGTCACCAGCCCACATGGGAAATAAACATACCTGAAATACACACATAGTATACATGTAGTAAACAGACATGGAGCTACAATAAATGTCATTAATTCAAAGCACCGTGGTGTTCAAATCATTTATTAATCTTCAGCTGCCCACTGCAAATCAATACACACTGACTTTGCAGGGTGTGATGTGCAGGCAGGCAGGACCGAGGCAGCAGAGCATCTGGGAGCACACACGTCCACTCTCGTTTTTTTAAAGAACATGTATTTGGTTTTGCCACCAGCCTGGGTGACTGTCACAACTCAGCTTTCAGTGCTCAAGGACCATGAGATGCAGGGGACAACACACACAGGGAAATGGATCTTCTGCCTTGGTCCCCGATGCAGCCAGGAAGGCTAAAAAGTCAGACTATGCTCATATTTTACAAGGCAACCGCTGGAAGAGACACGACCTCGCTCGAAATGCAGAGATCCACAAAATCACTCTGAGCACCGAAAGCCTCCCTGAGCTCGTGGCACCAGGCATCCAGCACGTCCCTGAGCTCCGCGCAGAGGCTCTCCGGGACGCTGAAGGAGCAGATCTGGACCCTGAGCCCATCCTTTATCCGGGGGCAGGAGGCCCGGGCCGTGAACACCCTCAGCGGGGTGAGCGCCAGGCAGTTCTCGGCGCCCTCGGCGAATGTGTACACGGCGGGGTAGCCCAGCAGCACCCCGGCCACGGCGCACAGGTTCCAGTCGCCGGCGGCAACCTCGCTGGCGGTCACGGGCTCGTCGCTGGCGGCCTCGGTGTCCCGCAGGTGGCCCAGGAGGGCGGCGAGGTGGCGGCGCAGGGCGGGGGCCTCGGCCGGGCCGCAGAGCGCCGGGCCCCGCCGCGCCCCCGACACATCCACGAGCGCCGCGGCCCGGAGCGCGGCCCGGAGCCGCCCGAGAGCCGGGCCCGGCCGCAGCAGCAGCAGCGAGCCGCCCATGGCCAGCACGTGCAGGCGGCCCGGGGCCAGCCCGGCCTCCCGCAGCCTGCCCAGGTACCGCCGCAGCTCGGCCGGGCCCGCGGCCCCGCAGTCCCACAGCAGCGCCGGCTTCAGCCCGGCCGCCACCGCCAGCACCTCCCCGGCCGCCTGCAGCGCTCGGGCCGCGGGCAGCCGCCGCCTCCGGCCGGGCCCCAGCGCCTCCCGGGCCGCCAGCACCAGCTGAGGCACCGGCAGCGGCACCGGCAGCGCCCCGGAGCCCGGGGCCATCGGCGGCAGCCTCCGCCGGCCTGCGGATCCGGGGCGGGCCCGAGCTCCGCCCGGCCCCGGCGGAGCCACCTCGGCTGGGCGGGGCCGCCTCGCCATGGCCGGGAAAAGGGCCGGGAAAAGGGCCGGGAAAAGGGCCGGGAAAAGGGCCGGGAGAAAGGGCCGGGAGAAAGGGCCGGGATAGCTCCATGGCCGGGAGAAGGGCTGGGATAGCTCCATGACCGGGAGAAGGGCTCGGATAGCTCCATGGCCGGGAGAAGGGCCGGGAGAAAGGCAGAGACAGCGCCCGCAGCCCGGGCACAAAACAGGGGACAGGGACAGCGCCGAGCTGTGCTGAGAGCCGCTGCCAGCTCTGTACCATCACTGAGTGCTCGGAGATCTGGAGGATCAGCCCCCAGGAGATGAGCTGCAGAGCTCCCTTCCAACCCCAGTCTGTTATATATGCATTTACAATACCTGAATGTACGTATCCCTATAAACAACCCACAGTATAAGGAGTATCAGCCTTCGAGGTTGCTGCTACAGCCCCGTTAAAGAGAAAAAAAAAATTAGACAAGTTGATATTGTCCAGGCAAGTTTAATAAAGCACAGATTATTTTTTCTGCCCTCTAATGATCAAGTGTTTATATACATTGTATTCATATCAGATTAAAAAATATTACAGAATTGAAAATCTGATTTATACAGAGGGGATGCTTAAGCAAATAGCTGAAAAGGATGAAAGAGAAGTATTCCTGTAATCCCCTCTGTTTTCAGCCACTTCCAAAACAAAAGCACCACAGAAATTGAAATTGTGGAATCAGATGGCAAGATTTACAGATTCTATTTATTCCGTCTCAGACAAGGCACTGGTTAAGGAAAGCTGCTGTGTATGTACAAGGTTAGAAACGGCGGTGGAGGGCGAGGGTCGGTCACTGTGCTGGGAGCGGCTGTGCCATGTGCAGGGCAGGGGCCTGCATGGGCCAGCCCTCCTGGTGGTTCTGCAGCAGCCGGTACAGCTGCTTCAGGTGTGCCACGATGTTGTCCTTGATGTCCGGCGTGGAGATCTGCAGCCGCACGCTGCCGCTGTCAAAGGAGCGCGTGAAGTCCCCGGAGAACATCTCGTAGATCATCCGGGCCACAACGGGGATGACCTGTTAACAAGTCCCTGTTTTTAGCCTAAAGGCACGTGAAATATCCCTGTCACTCTGCAGGAAGCCCTGTCCTGGATGCAGAGATGGGTTCCACGATACCCTAAAACACACTCACAAACCAATTCTGTTCAGCACACGTCACATTTGTATTTGCTCTCCCAAACCACCTGTCTTACTGGAGTTTCCCTGGTGCCAGAAGCCACAGCAGAAAAGAACAGTGTCATTATGCATGGGAATTGATCCCAAACCCAGCAGGGCTGGCACATGTCACCCCAGAGCCCTACCTGCACCACGATCAGCTTCCTCTCCCTGGGTTTTCCATCGGGCCACTCTTCTCCAAAACAGAAGTAGATCTCGTATGGTGGCTGTTTCTCAATTTGTCCCTTCTGATGGGCAATCAGCTCTAGGAAGAAAAGCAGGGTGCTGCAGGGTTGTCCTCTTCAGGCTGGAAACACCCGTGACCTCCCATCTCATTGCATCACCCCTGGTCAGTCTTACCTACACACTGTCCTCTGCCACCTCTCACACACTTACAGCTCATTCCTTGCACGTGGAGTGCTTGCTTTAAAAGCAAGGCCCTCTGATGTCATTAAATGAGTGTACAGTGCCTTTTCCTGCCACACACCCACTCCAAACTCCCTGAACTCAGGGGAGCAGTGGCCCCGACCTGCTCTCCGCAGCTGGTGCATCCAGGCACGACCCACGTCCAGAGCTGTTTTCCACAAGCAGAAGTTACCTACCGCTTAGGAACGTTTCCAGACAGAAGAGCTTCACCTTCTTTTGCCTCTCAATCAGATTTGGGGTGGTGGAGGAGGGGGCACAGGGCCCAGACCAGTACACCTTGCACTGGCAGAGCCGCACGGCGTAGATGGCGTGGCCGCTGACCTCCAGGATCAGTCCCCTGTCCATAACATCCAGCAAACGACTCGTGAAGATCTTCTGCCTTTCGTTGGTGATCTGCTCCGTCCCTGGAAACTTGACTTGCTCCAAACTGATGGGCCCAAAGAGCTCCTCCTGGTCTGGCATAGGACCCAGCTCTCCGTAGAAGAGTCTGCAGCCCTGTGGGTTGCTCACGGTTGTTGTGGGTCCAGTCTCCTTCCCTCGATATTCAAACTTGATCTCTAGGTCTGTCACTGAGAGAGAAACCGTCAGAGTTGCTTTTCCTGGAGCATCAGCAGCAGGGACACCACACAAGCCCCGCTGCCCTCACAGGGATGTTTAAACCTCACAATTCTAGTTAAACCACACAAGTTCTCCTCACTTACCCACGTACAGCCACAGGAAAAAAAGACAAAACACTATTTTCGGTGGGGTTTTCAAGTACAAAAACTGTTACAAGCCCATGCACGTACTTGGCAGGGAGCTGATCCAGAGCTCGGGGCTGCTGAAGAAGTCGTGCTGCAGCGCCGTTGGGGGCATTTCCATATCCAGAGGTTCGTTCTTTGGCCACACAGTTTCAGGGCTGCAGTTTTCTGCACTGGCTGGAGCCATCGGAGAATCTACAAAAAGGCAACAACTCCTCAATAAATCAAGATTTTATTTCAAGCATGTGGCAATTTACAAATACCTTCCCTAATACATTAGTCTGTGCCACCAACCATTGATATTAAGAAATGGAAATGTCTCTTGAATTGGGACATGCTGAGATTGGTTCAATTCTTCCTCCTCTTCATCATCAAGATCATTATCCTTCTCATCCCAGGGAGCTGAGCCAGTGGAACCTGCAAACAAGCACATTCTTGTGGGTGGATTATCAGCACCAAACACTGAAAAAAATATCTTAATATTGGATATTTATTTGTGTACTTTTCAAATTTCACTAAAAAAGGCTAAATCTGATCCATGCAACATGCTAAATTCAGTTTAATGTATAATTCTAGAAAGTGAAAGTTTGATGAAGTAAGACACAGTACTGCCAATATTAGACTCTTTAGCAGGAAAACATACAACTGTGTGCAGCTTTATTCATTTTAGTACTAGAGCATGGTTCCAACTCCTTTCAGTTTAAGTACAGGCTTCACCTGGCAGCTGCTGCTGCTGCACAAGGGCAGCTGGAGAGTTAAAGCAGAGGGGGAAGGAGCTCCCTTGGACCTGCCCAGGAGCCAGCCCGTGTCAGCAAGGCCCTCACCTGGATTAATGATTGATCCCTGCGACTGCGGGATGTCACACACTTCATAAATTTTAATGGGGTTCATGGGCACCTCCTTGGTGCCATCGTACATCAAATTAAACTCGCGGCTCTTGTTGAGTGCACATCGGAGCTGGGCTTTCCACTTTGCAGGGTCTGGCTCATCCACTCCCTCCTGGTACTTTCCGGTTTCCACAGCCCATGCCTGGGGACAAAGTACAGCCAGCTCAGTCCAGCCCTCCCCACAGAGCAGATTTATCAAACTTCCAAACAAATCCACCGTAAAATCCTTCTCTTGCAGAAGTCTTAATTAGAGCTCTTGTGATAACAAATCATTGGAAATTCCCACTTCAGTAGTTTTTCCCACTAAAAGAAAGTGGAGAAAAAAGACATAAATCCAAACTCCAAAAGAATGTTCACAGTTCTGGGTTAGAGATTTTGTGGGTCTCAAATTCAACACCAGAGGTCACTTTTGACAGGGAGCCTGTGCAGGAGGAATGGACTCGGTTAAAACGGAGAGGAAGGACAGCCACAGACATCCAGCAGGCCTCTCCCTCTCTCACCCCAAAATCTGATTATTGGTCCAAGATCCCTCCAAGACAGAAGTCAGAAATTCCTCAAAGGAGTGCAGGGAGTTACAGTGAATCCCTCGGGATAAGATTAGGGCCAGCAGCGATGAGTGCTTGCGATGAGCTCGTGGTGGACCTCTTAAGACTTACGTAACAGCATTTCATGCTTTGCTGCCAAGAACAAGCCAGTGCCCACATCCCAGCCCAAGCAGATGAAACCGACAGCAGTCATCTTCCAGAGACCACGGATCACACACAGCACCCGGCCTTTGGTGGTGGGAAAGGGTTAAAGAACTCAACACCATCTCAGGCGGTGCCAAGCTTGGCATCCAGGTGCACAAAGTGGCTTTTCTGAGGTCAGATAAATAAAACGTGCCTGCAAACAGCTCCCGAGATGCCTGTCCAGCTCCTGGGCCAACAATCCAGCCCTTTGTCTCTGTTCCAGAGCCGTGGGATGCCCGAGCTCTGCCCTGCCTCACCTTGAAGATGGTGTTCTCCTCCTCGTGCTGGGGGCTGTGCCGAGTCGCGTGTTTCCAGGGGATCTGGAAGCGCTTGGCCTCGCGGTTCAGCCAGATCAGCCCGGGGTACATCCCACTGTCCACCTGGGCCACCAGCCACGGCTTCAGGCGCACCCTGCGCGGGTGGAGAGCCATGGTCTGCAAGGGGAGACAGCAGAGCCACTGCTGGAGTTACTCGAGCCTCATTTGCTTCAAAGAAACTGAACTGATTTAACAAGAAAGGGCCCTGTGCTGTATAACTGCTGTTATTTTTATGGCACTGCACCCTGAAAACACCTATTCAGCTTCAGCAGGTGACTCCTCTGCCGGGAACAGTCTCACACACCTCCCTGAGCGGGGCCCAGAACTGTTCCAAGGACAGCAGCTCACACTCAGTGCTCCAGAGCGCGGTGTTTGTGCCCAACGAGCCCAGAGCAGACCTGGGCTGTAAACCCTGAGCAGAGATAACGCCACGAACAAGCCACAGCAAGAACAGGCAGCAGAGTTTCCAAAGCCTCCACAAACACCTTGGAGAAGGGGCTGAGCTGATCTCTGCTCCTCCAGTCCTGTCAGACTCGCAGCGAGGAGGAGAAAGGCTCTCTCTGCCTGGGAGGCTGAGGGGCTGTTTTACCACAGACACAGAAAGTCTCTTTATGACTTTTCCATGAATGCCCTGAATGCAGCATAAGCATTGGCAAACAGCACTGACCTGTAATAACCAGGATGTTTATCCAGAAGGACATGAACTGCAGGACTGCCTGCACTGCTGCTA